ATTTGGGGGTTTTTTTAAAAAAAAAAAATTCATGGAAAAAAAAGTCATTATGAAAACAGACAGGTGCATATTTATTGTTTTAATATTTTACAGATTATAACACACAGGCATGACATTTTAGCAGAACATGAAAGTTTTCGTTTATCTACATTGACTCCAATCAAAATCGATAACGCTCACTTGTTGAAACTTGTTCAAGTTGTTGCCCGCTGTCAATAGGTATACTTCATATGTCAATGGTGGACACGACACTGATAGTTTAGGTTTCCCAAGTGACTGAAAGACCTATCTAGGCTTTCATATTTTTTTTACATCCAGAAATAAGTTGCATGTATTTGCAAAGTAAGTAAGCAAAGTAATTTACTAATTACCTTCTTGTGAAATTATGATCATAAATAAAACAAGGGCATTGATAATTGCAATAACATGTAAATACATGTGCATTAAATGTTGTTGTCAATTTTACACTTCTTCTATTTAATATAGAAAATGCAAACTAATAAAAATCAATTTTATGAACTATGTCAATGAAGTAGAAAATGTCAAATATGAAGCATTTTATTTAATTTTTAGAATGTATGTTGTATCTGAAAACTTAAGACATTTTTATTGAATCATTCATTTTATCAGTAGTGTCTAATTTTCAATCAGAGGAGAGAGCGAGTTTTTAAACAATATTAAATAGGCTATAGACTAAGTTAAAAAATAATTGCTAATATAATCTTGAGCAACCTTGCATTTCATTTTTATATTGTTTTATGTAGGTTTGGTTCCCTCTTCCTATTGATCCTTGGATTGAAGACAACTGTGAAGAGTTCTCTACCAGGTCATTAGAAAGTCAGTTCTCCGTGTCCAGTTTATCCCAGCAGACCACTAGATCAAGGGAAATAAACCGACTGAATTACTGCCAGTCCGTAAACCAAGGACCTGTCCCTCGGCTAAATCTAAACCCTCAGGAAAATACGCACAGCATTCACACATTTAATCTATCAGCCAGGAGTTCACTATCTGCATATTCTGATGGGCTTTCCCAGGTGTCTATAGAATTAGAATCAGCATCTTTGTCACAGATTTCTTTAGAAGACACAAATAGTTCTAATTATCATAGTGTAGAGGGACTGGAAGTTACAAAGGTCAAAGATATCCATCATGCCAATGACGCGGGTGTAAAATATACAATAAACAATATGGAAAACAATGGTAGATCATCCATAGATTCTGGGGCAATGAATCAGGTAAGATATTGCCTAAGAATTCGCGGGTTTTAATAAAAATTGTGTGCAAGGCATTATAATTAGGAATGTCAAAATATTTATTTTCCTTAGTCGAACATTCGATTGCATTATTTGAACGATAGTCGACTATTCGGAGCATATCTTTTAAAAAAAATCTCATCGATAGTGTCTTTAAAAATAAAAAAAAACTTTTTCGTAAATTTATGTAAAAAGTAACATTAAATGCCTATATATACTTTGTGTTACACACCGATATTCAGATGATCCTTAAGTTGGGATACGATGTAGAAATGAAATAGATTTACACCAGCAATTGATTCTCCAAAATGTATGAAATTTCGTAACTTGAATCAGAATCATAAATTGGTCGGTACTTTCTTTTGTTCTAGTACGCTTAGAGAATTGTTGGCACATTGTTTTTAAAGCTTTCTGTATTTAAAATAAATTGGAAAAGGAGACTGAGGAGATTAAGTTTTAATAATTATCGAAGTTTCAAAACTTCACGGCTATGCTGTGTTCCTATAGCATAATTTAAACATTCTTAGAGGTAATAAATAAATTTATAATTGGTACAAGTCCAATTAATAATTTTCAAAGTCCAGTAAAGCGCTGCATAATTTACTACGATAACAATAAAGGTCAGTAATTGAAAATTATTATTGCGGTATGTAATTACTGTACTTTCTATGTTTACAATGTAGAAACTTATTTATATACTGTGACTGTGTTTAAGCTCTTATTCGTCAGAGAATGGATACTATAATGGTTTTAGGAATGGCGCTTTACGATTTTGAGTTGCTCAAGAATTCTTTACCCCCCTTTTTTTTTTTTGCATTTATCAAATATTCGAATGTCGTTTCATTATTCGATCGTCGGTCCATTCGACTGACAGTCGAATAGTCGACTATTTGTTGACATCCCTAATTATAATACAGTAATGTTTCTGAGAAAAGAGTCAAGCAATTATTAATTTACATATGAATTATTTTGGGAATATATGTATTAAGGGTTTCATGGTTTTCAAAAGATTTCTGCACAGAAACGTAGGTGTTTGTAAATTCTTTATATATAACTACTAACAGTTGTAATTTATGCATTAAAATTGTATTAACATTATATTCCACATGAGATCCTCAATGACAGTCTAAAATCTTTCTATAATTACTATTTAACAGTCATAATTTACACAATATAAGTGTATTAACATTATATTGCAGACGGGATCTACTAATGACAGTCATAACGGGGATTCCAGTCGGGCCTCTCCACTCCGCGGATTATCTTCTGATGAAGGATCTGGATGGAAATCAGAAACAACAGAGAACTCGGATGGTTAGTCTTAATCCATTCAACTTTTGAAATAAATACCGGGGTATTACGTTATCTGGTGTTTGTTTTTTTAACAGACAAAATAAATTATTGGTTTTACATGTAGTTCAAGTTTCCCTCGTTTTGTTGATGTGCATACCTGAACAGATGCTTTATAATTCTGAGAAGTTTTGAAAAAAGTGTGAGAAAAGATATTTCTTTTTGCTGGCTATTTCATTTGAAAGTGAATTTGTAAGGTTACAGAATTATATACATGGTTATAAATGATCAGTACTGGATGCCATAATTTATATTCAAACTTGTGATTTAATTTAAGCCCTAATTCCTATTGTGACTGCCCTGTTATAGTTACTTATTAATATACAGGTCCCTCTGTCTGATTTTGGTTTTGGTTTTTAGGTAATATTTGTCTATATGTATGTCTAAAAAGCTTCATTTCTTTATCTACAAGTAATCTTTGTCTGTCTGTCTGTCTGTCTAATTAAGCCTTGTTTCTTTATCTACAGGTAATCTTAGTCTGTCTGTCTGTCTGTCTAATTAGGCCTTGTTTCTTTATCTACAGGTAATCTTAGTCTGTCTGTCTGTCTGTCTGTCTAATTAAGCCTTGTTTCTTTATCTACAGGTAATCTTAGTCTGTCTGTCTGGCTGTCTAATTAAGCCTTGTTTCTTTATCTACAGGTAATCTTAGTCTGTCTGTCTGTCTGTCTAATTAAACCTTGTTTCTTTATCTACAGGTAATCTTTGTCTGTCTGTCTGTCTGTCTAATTAAGCCTTGTTTCTTTATCTACAGGTAATCTTAGTCTGTCTGTCTGTCTGTCTAATTAAGCCTTGTTTCTTTATCTACAGGTAATCTTAGTCTGTCTGTCTGTCTGTCTAATTAAACCTTGTTTCTTTATCTACAGGTAATCTTTGTCTGTCTGTCTGTCTGTCTAATTAAGCCTTGTTTCTTTATCTACAGGTAATCTTAGTCTGTCTGTCTGGCTGTCTAATTAAGCCTTGTTTCTTTATCTACAGGTAATCTTAGTCTGTCTGTCTGTCTGTCTAATTAAGCCTTGTTTCTTTATCTACAGGTAATCTTAGTCTGTCTGTCTGTCTGTCTAATTAAGCCTTGTTTCTTTATCTACAGGTAATCTTAGTCTGTCTGTCTGTCTGTCTAAATAAGCCTTGTTTCTTTATCTAGGGTAATCTTAGTCTGTCTTCTGTCAATTAACCTTTTTTTTTATCTACAGGAAAATTTTTTTCTGTTGTCTGTCAAATTAAGTTGTTTCTTTATCTAAAGGTAATCTTAGTCTGTGTATTTGCCTGTCTGTCTAATTAAGCCTTGTTTATTATCTACAGGTAATCTTAGTCTGTCTGTCTGTCTAAATAAGCCTTGTTTCTTTATCTAAAGGTAATCTTAGTCTGTGTATTTGTCTGTCTGTCTAATTAAGCCTTGTTTATTATCTACAGGTAATCTTGTTTTCTCGTCGCTATCGGCGGGGACCACTCGGAAGAGGTTCACCCCAGAACAGTGTCCAGGAGGTTCTTAACATAGCCATCCAGAGGTCTCGAAACTTCATTTCGGGTTTTTCCCCCCCAAAATACCCAGGGGCCTCGGCAGAAAGTACGCTTGTCAGACGGGGATAATCAGGGGCACCTGTCCGGCGCTGTGTACGCCCGGTTCCAATTGCCACCGGAATGTCAGACTGTGAATGGAATCCCTACGCCACAGAATCCATGAACCACACACCACGATCGAATGCCAGCGAAGCAATTACAGCTTCCGCTGCAATTCCCACTATCGCTCCATTGAAAGACAATGAATTTATGGCTAAAGAAGACAGACTTGAAGAAATTTATGCCCAACAACTTTCAAGGAACAATTCATCTACCAAGAGAAACTCACCACCGAGCCCTAGTGCTAAGCCTCAGATTCAGGGAATGGGAGTGTTAATCCTCACTAAAAGGGAGGACCTGAGTCATCACCAGCCGTCTGACCCTACTTTTTTACTCCACAGAAGTCAAGTCCAAAAGTTCTAGGGAAGTTAGCATCAGAGAGTGATTCCACAGTGAGGGCCTCGAAGGGTCCAGTAACTCGGACTCAGACAATTTATCATCTAATTCATTTTTTCCCAATTAGTAAAAAGCTTAAAAGTCGATTTCAAGACCCAGAATACGCTAATCAGAGACCAGAGCCACTTGGAGGCCGGTCTGATGAATGTTTATATGCCAAGAGGAACCTCTTTCCCCAGTAGGGCAGCATTCAAAGGGGGGGGGTAACTTCAGAATGACAGATTCTGAAGGATATCTACCTGTGGATGAAAGAAGTAAATTTTTAACAAACCACAATCTTTTGATCCTCCCATAAAAAAGTAATCCAGACAAAGTCACAGGGTGGTAGATCTACAGAACCGCTAGATGTTTCTCAAGGTTTGGAGGAAGATGCTTTATCCCAGGGGTAGCAAAACTGTTGAACAGTGCTAATGAGCTGGGTTCATCTCTTCATCAGAGTCTCTACAGCAAAGAGGCACTGGGAATGAGTGACCGGGAAAACTTCCCAAAGTACAAGTTCTTCCTGGGGTTAGTACCCAGGACTGTCCCACCTAGCCCAACCATGGGAAACTCTACTCAGGAAGATCTGACAAAGTCGGCAAAATCAATGGCATCTGATGCAAGTCTGGGTATCATAGGAGAAAATTCCCAAACTTTTTGCTCGCACAGAAAAAATTCCTGGTAATAAACACAGTGAAGACGTGTCTGCTGCTAGTGAACCAAGCAGTAAGACATTTATACCAATTCCTCAGGAAACTCAGGTACATTGAGCCTAACAGTAGAAACAAGAAAACTGCAGCAAATGGACATGCCAGGCACGAGTCAGAGGACAGTCAGAAGTAAAGGGGTTTCACTGGACCATAAGTAAAGGAGATTTTACAGAGGACTTCTTATGTGGAGAAGAAGCAGGTCCCAAGAAAGGTCCCCCCCTGGCCCTATTACTACTTTTACAGAAAGATCTGCAAGAGATTCAGAACAGTTCCCCGTCCATCTCAATCAGGACAACACTCTAGATGTTACAGGAGAGAAAGAACTTTCAGATACCTCAAAGTCAGTGAAAAGTTTCTTTTTAGAGGCCAAAGGGGCACAGAGTGGTGGAAAGAAACTTCTGTGGGACCATGGAGCAGACCTAGGGTATGAAGACAGTGAAAGATTTCGGGGAAACGATGAAATGATACAGAGACAATGGAGGCTAGCCTGGATCAGTCAATGAAGCTATGAGTCCTCAGGAAAATCCAGCCAGAAAACCAAGGATGAGAGCACAGAGAAGGACGACACGTCAGACGTAGTGTCTGATCAGCTAGAGGTGGAGATTGATGAAATTCGTATTGGTAATGTCGCACCCGATGTTGAAGAGATCATTGCAAAGTACCAGAAGAAGAGTGGGCCCGCCTTAATGGAGCCTCAATTTGAAGAGGATACCACGGGACTTGCTAACAGAGTTTTCCAAATCCTGACCACAGATCACCCACAAAAACAGGCCACGGGGATACTGGAGAGGGTTGTCAAGGAGGAGGGAAAAAACATCCAAAAAATGGCGGAACTTCCAAAACTGGATTCCAGTTATGATGGCTATAATCTACCCTCAGCAGACAGCAGCTTCGTAGGGATAAAGACATCAGAAAACAGCTGGAGTGGTCCAAAGTTCCCCGGACTATGGTCACCCCGACAAGACTGGATCTAGAGTTCATTTTAAAACTGGCCTGCCCTTCAGTGCCCTTGGAAATGCTAAGACATTCCTGTCATCTAGTTACAGAAAAAGTCTACCAAACATTTAATCACAGCATTGAGCTGAGAACACCCTACAGGAATGTGGTAGAATGTTCACTGTGTATGGCACAGAGCAGAAAGGAGCCTCAAAAGAGGCATGGCCACCAGAGGATAAGCAAGGGAGGCAATCTGAGACAAGGCAAGGGAGAGAACCCTGCGTATAGAAACAGAAGGGAAATAGATCCATTGTCAAAGTAAGTGTCAGAGACATGTTAAACATTATATGTTGCTTGTTTGTATTTTATGTCAGAATTACTGCATGATAATTAGTGGCTAAGGAATCGTTAGAGGCTTATATACATGTATCTCCTACTTTACGATAAAAGTGTTGAATGCAAATATATATATATTTATCATAAATAACAGTGTAATTCTAATTATTCTAGATAATAAAGTCTTAATTGTGAATTCAGCACTTTAAAACAAAGACAAAAATGTATTGCCAGTCTAGGAGAATGTTGCTTGCTACTAGTTTTGAGCTGTATATCAGTTAAACATTTAATATCAATTTAAAATAAAATTGTTTGCTAATGGGTCTAAAAAATATATTTTAAAATTTGGAAAGGGGGGGGCTTTGTGGAGTTTTACCTAATTTGAGAGGAAAAAGGATTTGGCAAAGATTTTTCTCTTTTCCTGACTCTTGCAATCAAAAAACTGTTGTAATTTTAGAGCATACTACCCACAGCTCTTTTGTTCTGAATACACATATAAACTTATATCACCATTGTTTGTATGGCGCATGATCTGGTGTCACCACATTGTCTACTGCTAACATGGCTGCATGCACTTCACTTTACAGCGAGGGTTTTTCCTTAACTCTTTGGACACTACCCCCGTAGAGTTTAACCGCGTGCTATGTGCCCTAGGGACTTTGGAGAAGCAGGTAACAGACATGTTTGTAAAAACTTAATTCAAATTTTATGGTCAACTTCTCACATTTTAACTTCAAAGAATTAAAATACAACTTCATCATGTTCATAGTAAAATGGTAGATAGAATATGGCTCCCTAAAATTTTTTGCTAAAAAATTTTAGCATAACTTACAGTACACTATTGGTGGGGTTTTTTTTTTTTGTTGTTATATAAATTAAGACCATCTGTCTCCTTTAGACATGTAAACATCATGGGGGCCCAGGAACTATGCCAAGGATTTATATATCGATTACCAAATCAGTGTATGATGTAAACATGATTG